GGGGGAAATCCCCGCCCCCTCCCCCGATTCACAAAACGCCTGACAGTAGGCAACCAGCATCACATGCCCCTGTGGGTAGGCAAAATACACACAATCGCTGCTCCTGTCGGGAGGATCCTTTAACCGCGCCTGTGCACTTCATGTGGTGCAATGTCTGAAGGCGCTGCACATGTGCTACATTCATTGCCTTTGGAATCGCAGTGTCCCTCAGGTAAAATAATAAAAAGTAAACGGAACGGGCCGAAAAGTTACTCAATTATCGCTACACTGTTAGAAAAATTATGAAAATTCAGACCGAAAGTGTCAGACTTGTCCGTCTGAATTTCGTTTTCAGACTAGAGTCCTAATAATTGGACCGCAGGTCCAAAAATACGGTCCTTGTAGTCTGAAAAAAATTTCAGACGTGGCGGTCTGAAAATTCAGACTTGACAAGGATTAACTAGGGGTACGCGCCGTTTAGTCTGGGCGCGTAGTGTGGCTGAGCGATGCGAATTGACATAGTTTGTGCACTTTGGACTTTGCTTGAGTAGACGAAATGTGCAATGATGGGCTCATATTGAGTGAACTTTAGACCAGGGGCACAAGTGGAAGTGATTTTCGTTATCAGAACACCAAAAACTGCTGGGATCAAAGTCAAACTCAATATAAAAATTTTGGTCCAAAATTGGTCAAAATTCGGTTAAATGTGAGTCTGGGAAAAGTTTGGAGGTCATTCTTGAGTTCAGCACACCAAAATCTGCAGGAAACCATATAAAACTCGACTTGAAAATTTTGGTCCAAAATGACCTAATTTGGGATAAAAATATAAGTCTGAAGTCGAAATGGGAGTGATTTTCGTTATCAGCACACCAAAAACTGCTGGGATCAACGTCAAACTCGATTTAAAAATTCTGCTCCAAAATTGGTCCAAATTTGGGTAAGTGTGAGTCTGAGAAAATTTTGGAAGTCATTTTTAAGTTCAGCACATCAAAAACTGCAGGAAAAAATATAAACCTTGACTTGAAATTTTTGGTCCAAAATGACCTAATATGGGATGAAATTATAGGTCTGGTGTTAAAAGTTTGGGTCAGGGGACAATTTAGATGTCAATATTGAGGTCAGCGCACTGAAAACTACAGCGAAACACACAAATCTCAACTTGGAAAGTTTGACCCAAAATTGCGTAGCTCTAGATGAAAATGTAGGATTGGCATTGAAATAAATGAAGTTTTTGTGACTAGTACACTGAAAACTACATACAATACTTTAGACTAAATTTCTTTCTGTATATTGTTCCTATTTGTCTTCATGAAGCACCCTCTGTCGTCACCAATTCCCTGATGCCACACCAATGCGAATCCCTCAGTCGAGTAACATTCAATTGCCAGCATTGAATCGCTTAATTGGCTACTTGTATGCTTGGGTCACTATTCGATATCTTTTTTTCCTAACTAATGAATTCACAATTTTATAAGTAATATTTAAGAAACATTTTGCCATTCTTTCATTGTGAACCAGTGAATAAAACAATATTGATTGGAACATGTTATCACAGTTAATATTAAGAGAGTGGCAGTTTAGGGTAGGCTGATCTGAACCAGTTAACGGGGACCAATTATTGTCAAACTCAGTGATTCGTCACATAGAGTCCAATGCCAAGGCTACCCAAAACTTAATGAACCGACATAATTTCTCTTACTCATGTAAACAATACTGAGTAGTACCAGTTATATTAACTTCGGTGATGTTAAAAGAATCGTCTCATTAAATCGAATCACTAATTCACTCACCGCTCAAAACCTGAGTCGTCTCTTTGAACCCAATATCAATTCAAACTCAATACACACAAGCATACATTGATTCTATTAATAAACACATGTTAGTACTTTTGCACTCTTGTCAGCTTGCAGTTTTGAAAAAGAATGTATTTCTCGAGTCCAAACTAAGTATGCCTGCTAATTTCAACACAAGTTATTTATGCATTTCCCTGATTTCCTCTAGTATGAAAATTTAAAAAAGAGGATGACACTATAGAAAATGAAATATGAAGATGCCCACAATACAAAAGGTGAAAATAAAAACATTCTTTTTACAATGCTCTGTCAAAGTGCACTGACCTGAAGAAGATTCCCCTCTAACGGGGGAGAGGGGCGAGGGGAACGAAAGACGTAAATCATTTGCACTTCCATTCTCCATATTTCGCTGTGTTGATACTCCAAAAGGGTTTTAATCATTCTAGAATGTTGAAAAACTATGGCCGATCTCATTTCCAAACCCTTCTGCTCGTTATTTTGTTTTATTTGCTTATTTGCTTCTGCCCGTATTTGAGAGCCGCTGCCGCAGGTAAGGGAGTATGGGGCGATTTGTAACAGGGGCGATTCGTAACAAATGCGTTTATTAATTTAAGTGGAGGGAGCAGAGGAAAATCTGAGTATGGCCCCTCTTTCGCTTCAAGTAGAGGGTCTTTGAACAATCGAAGCGGATGTGATCGGTGCTCAGGTTTAGATTTGGAGGGCGTCTGAAATATAGGGTACACCGAAAACAGGCAAATCTTTTATTTGGAGTTCAAGGAAGTTTCTGTCAGAGGCTCCCCAGGTATGAATCACCATCGAAGTACCGCTGGGGCCTTGAAGCGTGACCCCTTTACAACGAAACCACGTGGCATAAGTTGCCTTCACTTTGTCCAGTGATAGGTTGGGACGGATTTCCTGCGTAACAGGCATTTGGGGTGATTCGTAACAGACCCGTATAAAAACAAGAATTGAAGTAGTTTTAGCAATTAAATGCTTGAATTATTTCTCGAATCATCTGCTGCCTAATTTCAATACACTTACACAGCTCAAAATGCATTTTAAAGCGAGTTATTCTATTCTGACCTCCAAAATTGAAAAAAGTGAGGTTAGGGTTGACATAGCCGGTCAGTTAATGCTGAGGCGGTCAACGGCAGCTTGTAATGCAGATTTTAAGGCGTCTGCAGGACATCCGAAGAACAACTGCTGGAGGAGATAACATTCCCGACGATGTTTCATTTAATGTGTAGGATGTAATGAAAAGCCCCATGGCTGTTACAAATCACCCCATGCTGGGGCGATTCGTAACAGCATGCAAGGGTTTGGAAAGCGTCTTAGATTTCAAAGATTACGGACTCCAGATTGATCCAATGGAGCTGCACAGTCTAGATGAAGGGCCAGACTGCTCAACTGGCACAAGTTTGACACCGATATGCAGAATGTTCTTAATTTTGTATAGAGGATTCCAAAAACTGTTACAAATCGCCCCATACTCCCTTATGAGAAATTGGTGAGTGCTGAGTGCTGCCAACCTAACCATGCTAATAACCTGATTCAAAAATATGTTTTGAATATTTCAAACGATACTTAACAACGATTTGAAACAAACTCGTGTTGGGGGGTACTAAGGCGACGTTAAATACGAAATCTTGAAACTATAGCCACTGTAGTTGCTGAGAATCGTTGGTGAGTACAAACAGACTCACAGACAGACAGACGCACGACCAGTCACTTTTCAGCGCGCCCAAACACGGCAAGGGCTTCGCTATCGCTCAGCCAATAATTTGCCCCGCGAGTCTGAAAGTAGAATTCAGCGCCCGGTCTTAATTTTCTGCCCGACTCGTCTGACTCCCGCCCCGTCTCTCTACATACGCTGCCTTAATCGGACTGCCCCGAAGGTAGCACCTTGAGCCCCAGAGAGTAGCCCTCTTTATAGCGCTCTGGCAGCACCTTGACCAGCTAAGCTAGTAGGCCCGAAAGCGATCTAGTTTGTCTCGGACTTGTCCGGCTGAGTTCATTCGGCACCGAGCAGCGCCGAGCACCGAGCCGAGCCCAGTGCAGCGGGGCTATATATTGCTATATAGCTATATATTAGATTTGGAGCGAGCGCGGCTAGGAATGTTGCCGGCGGCATCGACTTACCCGGAACATAGCGGCGCATTGCAATGAGCACTTGCTAGCCCGAGCCCAATAGCACGATTTGGGATAGCGGAACAGCGATGGAAACTACGTGATAGCATCACCGAAACGATCTACTCGACACGAAACCTGTCGTATACGTACCTGACAAGAATATCACGTTGCGAGGTCGTGCACGCTTTGAGTCGTCATTTGAAGTGCAAGGAGATTTCCAAACGCTATGAACATAACACGTTTATCGCAAGTATTTATTAGCAAAGGGCACGCAAATATTGTCATCAAGATCTACTCGAATCAAGAATAAAAATTATTCTTGGTCCATCCGTTTCTCAAGATCCTGATTGGTCAACTGGATCTGGTTTAAGAGCAATAGCAAAAAATCTTCGTAAACTGCTTCACACACTCAAGATTAAGATGGTTTTTTTCTGCAGTGGGCCCCGTCTTTAAAAGTCCACGATCTCCGTGGTTTTGGGTACGGAGAGGGGCTGTGATAAAATAAACAGGACTTTCCGGCCTCGCAGTGCCGATTTCTTGCGAAACAAATTTTCAGCCAAAACGGTGCCAGTGCGACCTTTTGCCAGAAGGCGAGCCCCAGGCGGCAAACAAATCGTGTGAGTTCGAAGGCCTGTAGCTCGGTCGAGTTCCTGGTTTTAACTGTGGGACTTTTTCAAAGTTTTCCTATCTGGTGCGCATGCCCTCATGCGAATTACTAACACTTGCCAGAGTTAGACGACAACACTGTTATTCAAACTGCGATAACCACTGTCTATATTTTGCAATAAAAAACTTGTCACATTTTTTTGCTATGATGACAACTAAATGTCTGAAATAAAAAAAAACATAGCTAAATTTTGCAATAAAGTATCACATTTTTGAGATAATGACTACAAAGAAAATGCAATAAAAAGTTATCGTAGAAAAAATGTGATAATAATGTGATATGGGGTGGTTATTGCAAAAAAAAGTGCAATAACAATGTTATCGCACTCCAGGATGCGATAAATCGTGAGAATCGCAAACTCGGTTTTTTTTACAAAAATTTGTAGTAAAAGTGTAGTAAAATGAATGAAAGTGGAAGAAAAAACTAGCAAACCTGGAGGGACACATTTTATTCGAGCATCAGCAATAAATGTAATTAGATGTCTTTGGCACTCAACAAAAACTTGCCATAGAACACGTAAGGCTCGTTGAAACAACTTGATTCAGCATAAATAAATATCTCAGGCAAAATAAAATAAAACAACCGCAGTCGGCACAGAACTGCGCAAACAAGACAAGAGACACGCAGGCGACGTGGAAATGGAAGGCACCGGCTTTACTTGAACATCCGGCTCAAGTTGTCCAAGGAAATAGGCACGCAATTGGAGTAGTCCCCCATGTAGTTCATCCGGATGTTCCCCGCGTCCGCAGGATTGAGGCGGCAGGCCTGAAAGCAACGTTGTCATCATTATCAGGGGTGAAATGGCCACGGTAAAAGTGCCGCCTTGAAATCCAAGGGGATGTCTCCTTTTATTTCCAAGGGCTTTGCGTGAATTTTCGAAGTTGTCCAATTTGAGATATCGCGACAGAAATGGATTCGTGTCGTCAAGACAAACAAAACATGTCAACGCATGTCATAGGTTTGAATGGGAAATGAAACAGATATTCATCTACAAAATTTGTAAAATGGGCTAAAAATGGCATTTAAAGTACTTTTGAAGCTCAATAACGTTTTAATTTCCGATCCAAACCTACGAGATGTGTTGACGTTTTCTTGTTTGACTTGTCAAGACGAAACCATTTTTGTAAACAAATCTTGATTTAGACCACTTGGCAAATTCACTCAAACCTCTTGAAAATAAAACCAAGACATCCCCTTGGATTTAAAGGCGGCACTCAAACGTTTTTTCGCACAGTGCAGTGCGCTGGTAACACTAAAGCGTAACTCTATGCTTGAGTCAAGCAAAAAGTTACGCTTGAATACGTTACGCTTGAAATAGAACATAGGCTAGAAAATCCACCATTCATTTATATAGGGGGAATCTTAGTGGATGGCCTAACTACGCTTCATTTCAAGAGTAAACTGATTTCACTGCAAAGCCGGTGGTAAGTTTACTTGCCACAAATTTGGCAAGCCGTTTTGAATGCCAAAACTTGGCAAGCTTGGCCTGGAAATACTCCCCAGCATGCCAAAATTTGGCAAGCTTAGCCTGAAAATACCCCCCAGCTTGCCAAGATTTGGCAAGCAGCTCACGAAGATTTCTGACCATAGCTTGCCTAATTTTGGCATTCAAAACGGCTTGCCAAATTTGTGGCAAGTAAACTTACCCCTGGCTTCCCAGTCCCAAAAAACCATGGGTCGCATGGGATCCCATGAGACATATCCCATGGGGACTAACTGAAATCCCATGAGGCCGCGGGTCAGCACCATGGGTAAGTGGCGTCACATGGAAAACAAAGGTCGTTTCCCATGGCACGGGATGAACACCATGGGAGGGCTTCTCCATGGTGTGAACTTTCCCATGGCATCGCCATTCCCATGGGATAAAATTCCTGCCCGTGCGTTGAAGTCTCCGTCTTATTTTTACGTTTAGGTAATATCAAGTCAACGGTGACTTGTAGACAAAATCTGGTTGCAAAATCGGTTGTAGCGTGAAAAGTTCAGGTAAGGCGGACATTAACTAATGTAGTGCTCCTCGCAGACGGAGGCAATTGAGACAATGTTCTTTCTAGACACTCTGCCATGGCAAGGAAGTGCTCCCATGGGACACACACCATGGGGCATCTCCCCATGGGTTGCTCAACCCCATGGGAAATGGTGCAAAAAATCAATGGGAAATCTTCCCCATGGGAAAAATCAGCCCATGGTGTCCCATGACATCCCATAGCTCATGGGATGCTCCATGGGTTTTTGGGACTGGGTTTGCAGTGTTCGCTTGAAAAAGAAGGGTAATACGACGCATTAGTTTTATCAGTGTGATGTCTCACGTGGGCCACGTTTGTCCCACGCTTGAAAGCGTGGGTCACGGTTTGCCTCACACATGCTGCTTGGGTGATTCCGTGCGTAGGGGGTCATTTCAGGTCACCGGGGCCTTGCGCCTGAACTGAGGGTGATTTGGTAGCTAGGGCAATTCAAATTTGTTTTACTAAATGAAGACCATGTCCTCATGTGGATAAGTCAATCTAACTTTTGTTTTTCTAGGTTTTGTAAGCTGCTAAAGTGTCGTTTTGTAAGTTCCGTCATGGTCACCAACAACTATAAGACAACATTGCCATGCTGTAGTATATGACTGAGCCACATCAAAAGAAACCTGGCTATTTCACTCTCTTCCCTGACTTATTCTTCACAAAAATACGAAAGGTGACCTTTGTATCATCACTTGTTGAACCCGAAACAGCCTATGGGAAAATGTCCACCGTGTGACCATGTGACCGATGCTGCTTTCACAACTGACGGTCTACTGGGGTTCCTTTTCGTTTAAGAACCTCGCGACCACTTGGGATCGAAAGAACATAAAAAACGCTGCCAGAAGCCCGTGCCTGCGGGACCTGGGGCGGTCAAACGACGCTTCCAGGCCGTCAGAATTGTTAAAAACGGTAAGGGTGTAAAAATAGATGTAATTTCCGTTTCGGGCCGTTGCTCCTCCATCTGACGCAGAAAGTTCCCACAACCTCCGCTGAAAAACGCTATTTTGGATGCTCAAAATGACACCGTCAACAGTTTTTACCTATCTTGTAACCCAGCGGGTCAGGAGACTAAACACTCCGCTTTGTAAATTCCGCTATCTGTAAATTCCGTCATTATTTCTGAAAATTCCGCCGTATTTCATAGGGGATGAAATTGAAAGTCAACTTGTAGCGCTGCCACGCTCAGAGGGATACTGTGGGGTACTATGTATGCCACCTACACCAAATTTAGCCCCTAAAGTTGAACTTTTTAAAAAAAAATTGGTACATCCAAAATGACCCTCTATGCACGGAATCACCCGCTTACGGTTCCCTCCGGTTCAATGCCACGGGTCCCACTCCGCAAACTGCATGGTCTGCTCAGTACACTAGTACACTGGCGTACTATTACGCCCTTCGTGAGGCGTACAGCCAATACGCCCTTCTACAAGCGTACAAAAGTTCATGCGCTCCTTTCTTCCTATCTAAATGCATGGGGGAATTGCCTTGAAGCGTAGTTGTACGCTTCAAGAAGGGCGTACAACTACGCTTTAGTTTTACCAGTGTACACTAGGGTGGTCCACTTTTTTTAAAAGTTTCAAAAATTGAGGAGCGCCGTCCAGATTCTGAAAGTAGGTGTAAAATCATGAATTTTGATACAAATATGATAAGATTTGGACCATTCTTAGGGGTCCATCAACGCGCCTGAACTTTAAAGAAAAGTTGAAAATGTAGCGGTATACTAAAATCGATGCTGTTACGAGAGTCTTTGTCCGATTTTCGATTGCAAAACGGCGATCTTTTCAGAAAAGTGCGCTCTACTTGATGATGTACATAAAATGACGATCCGACGTATTGCCTATTTTCCAGGGGCGTACAATCCCGTTTTTAGCCTCTAAATCCAACGTGTTCTTGCGTTTTGAAGGTGTTTGAGTTGTCCGATCGGATTTTTTGGGTCACCATTCGACGCGCCTGATCAAAACCTTTCGAAAAATGTCTCAGGCGTCAAAATCGGTTGGTTTGCCTACTGCACAGGAGCAAAAAACCACTGAAATTCGCTTAAAAATTGCTTTTTCGGGATACGAAATATCCTGTTTGGCATTGGGTCGGATTTCTTGTGGTGCCATTTGTCGCGCCTGGTCAAAAACTTCCAATTACCGTCCTGGGTGTACAAATCCGGTGGATTGCCGACCCTACAAGCAAAAAATGTCGAATGTCGAAAAATTCGTCTGTAGGATACGCGACCCTCTGGATTCAAGCGCTCGGAACGGTAATCGAAAGTTTTTGACCAGGTACGTCAAATGGCACCACAAGAAATCCGACCCGATGCCAAACAAGATATTTTGTATCCCGAAAAAGCAATTTTAAGCGAATTCCAGTGGTTTTTTGCTCCTGTACAGTAGGCAAACCAACCGATTTTGACGCCTGAGACATTTTTCGAAAGGTTTTGATCAGGCGCGTCGAATGGTGACCCAAAAAATCCGATCGGACAACTCAAACACCTTCAAAACGCAAGAACACGTTGGATTTAGAGGCTAAAAACGGGATTGTACGCCCCTGGAAAATAGGCAATACGTCGGATCGTCATTTTATGTACATCATCAAGTAGAGCGCACTTTTCTGAAAAGATCGCCGTTTTGCAATCGAAAATCGGACAAAGACTCTCGTAACAGCATCGATTTTAGTATACCGCTACATTTTCAACTTTTCTTTAAAGTTCAGGCGCGTTGATGGACCCCTAAGAATGGTCCAAATCTTATCATATTTATATCAAAATTCATGATTTCGCACCTACTTTCAGAATCTGGACGGCGCTCCTCAATTTTTGAAACTTTTAAAAAAAGTGGACCACCCTAGTGTACACTCTACTCTGTGTGTAGTCACAAGTGCACTTTTGGGTGATTGCAGTGCTCGGCTGAGTACACTCTACCTAACGAGAGTGTGTTCAGACGAGTAAACTCTAACGACAATGTGCTTGCTTAGATCAATACACCTTAATACACCTATCATTGCAGTACACTCTCGTGGAAGTGTACTCGAGAGTGCACGCTACAGTGAGTAAGAGAGAGTACACTGTTGGGTTTGCAAAGAACGGCGCTTAAGTCTGGTGGCCCTTCCCCTTGTAAGCCTAGAACTTGAACTCCTCTTTACCGTTTCGTAGTGGCGTTTGGCCTCGTCCGCTCGTCCGCCCTGCTCCTGGATCAAGTAGCCCAGGCGGAGGCGCAGGAAGCAGCGGTCCCCGATGGCAGCCCGGCAGCGCAGCAGAAGGCGCTCCGCCTCGGCAAACATGGTCTTGGTTTTACCATGAACCTGGAAAATCAAAAATAAAACACTCTCGCATTGGGTGTCGCCTTTAATGGTAGGCAACTCAGCAAAATTTTCTTAAAAATTCCCACTCCTACCTCCTTCTCTTCAAATCGAAGAGCGTACATTGTATGCTCCAATTGGCGCATGCCTGCAAGCACGCTTTGGCTAGCTCATGCCTGCCAAGCATGTACTTACTAGTCCATACATGCCATGTACACGCTAACTGAAGCATGCATCTAGTGGATAAGGGATAGGGAGTTGCCTGCATCAGGAAGCGTGTACATGGCATGTATGCGCTAGTAAGTGCATGCTTGTCAGGCATGCGCTAGCTAGAGCGTGCTTGCAGGCATGCTCCAATTAGAGCATACTATGTGCGCTCTTCGATATGTGGAGTTGATTTCGCAATTGTTTTGAACGTACTCGAAGAAGCAGTCTGCCGGCGTGGCTCAGCACGTAGGGGTGGTCGGGGTAGAGGCGGAGGACTTCTCCCAGCAGCTCTGCCACCTCGGCGCGGCACTTGTCCAAGGGCAGATTCTCGGCCAGGGTCAGAGCAGTGTGGGGCCCCGGGCGCAGGCGGTGGGCCATCCGCAGGTGCTCCACGGCCGAATCACCGCACCAGAAGCTGTTGCCCTTCATCCAGTGCCACTCACCCTCCAGCCTGTTCATCATGATGCAACGCTCCAGGTAGGAAAGGGCGACGTCTGCAAACATCAACAATTGTTATCAATGAGTCGAATCGGTCTCAATGATTCTCAGAATTTTTTTAACGACAAGATTTGTTGTGGAACGAATAGCTTGTTAAACTATAGTCGTACAGGAACTAAAGGATAATTTCACAACGACTAACTTGTAATAACACATCAACAGTCCACTTTCAAAAACAAGTCGTTGACCAACAACAAATGTTGTAAGTCAACGACAAGTATTGTAAGTAGAAAAAGATTTTGTTATGTCTGCGACAAGTACTTATGGAGAACTTTTGTCGCTTTATTTATTTTGCATGGTTCTTTTTTTATCAATAGTAATTTCACTATGACTTGGCGAACAAATAAGATGAATTTTCATAATTCGCTTTAATTGAGCAGATAATTGCAAAAGATGTTGTTTCCACACAAATTGTATCGTTAAGGGTGATAATAAGAATATTGTTCTTCAACGACAAATTGTCGCTGACTTGAGACAACGACAGTTGTTTCGCTTTGGTTCATGATGAAATTCTATGTTTTGGAACGACTAAATTTTCACTCATCTGATTGTTTCTGTACAACCATTTTTTAACGGTGAATACCGAGAATCCCAACGCTTTGAGAATATCCTCAAGTGGAGCAATGCACCCCTTTCTCATCGCTCGTGTGATGCAATGTTTTAATGCATTGCACCATGTGTGCTTTTTTCGTAGCATATGGATTGTCAGTGATTCCGGACGCAAATTCTTATGTCTTCGTGTGACATAGCGGACATTGCACAAATGCGTTCACTACCAACAGCGACTCGGCTCATAATATGTAACCTTAAGGTACGCGCCGTTTTTAGAGGGCGCGTAGTGGCTGAGCGTTGCGACCTGACACACTCTAGTTCAAGCGTTTGAGCACTTTGGACTTGGCCGGCGTACCAAACACCGCAGGAAATAACCAAAGACTTAACTTGATAATTTTGGTCCAAAATGACGTATTTAAGATCGAAATGCAAGTACAGAGTCAAAACGGAAGTAATATTCGTTATCAGCACACAAAAAAATGCTGGGATCAACGTCAAACTCGATTAAAATATTTTGGACCAAAATTGGTCAAATTTGGTACAGCGAGAGTCCGGGAAAAATTTAGTTATCCTTTACGAGTTTAACACGCCGAAAACTGCAGAAAACAACTCTACTTGAGTGGGTAGTGCTAGATTCCTACCGTGTTGTATCTTGGTGACTCCCCCGTGGATGGCGTGCACGGCGGCCTGAAGGTCGGGGCTCAGATGCTGGAAGGGAGTTATGGTGTTGATGAAGGCGAGCAGCATGGGCGACGGCGTCGTGGCCTCTGTCCGGCCCCACTCCAGGACGGCCCAGAAGGAGTCCAGCACGTGGCGCATGGCGGGGCTGGAAACACGAACCAGATTTGTCAGTTTCTCTCTCCCTCTCTGGTAAACTAGAGTGTAGTTGTATGCTTCAATCAAGCATACAACTACGCTTGAAGACTTTACGCTTGAAGTTAAGCGTAGAGAAGAAATTCACCCATGCATTTAGATAGGCGGGAGAGGGGTGAAATGGAGAATTACGCTTGAAGCCGAGAGTAGTTCTACTACACTTGAAGAAAGCCGTAAAAGTACGCTTCAGTTCTACCAGTGCTCTCTATGGCACACTGTGCGAAAAAAACACAGTGAATCCCGTTAATTTTTTTGCCGGGATTTACTGTAGTTCAGAACACAGGTTTTACCGTGCCTGGCTACAGTATCTACTGTACCTGGTACAGGATATTCCGTACTCCACTCCTGTGGTACAGTAAATCCCGTACAAAGTACAGTAGATCCTGTTATAAAAGTACAGTAAATCCTGTACTCTGAACTACAGTGACAGCTGTACTAATCACTACAGGATTTGCTGTGATTTTTTCCCACAGTGCACCAGGGGGTGGCTAAGGCCAAGGAGAAAGCCATGCTCACGCCTTCGGTGCACACAAAAGTTCATACACTCTCACAGTGTTAGTAGAGTAGGGGTAGGTAGGGTAAGAAAAGTACACTCGAGGCTCGGGTAAGAAAAGAACACCCGTTATATCTCCGAACTGAAACTACACTGAACCATCACGTTAGTGGTTTTAGAAAGATTGGTCATCCCGCTGACAAAAAATTAATTCAGCCCAGTTCTACAGATAATGTCTAGAATCAAACTGTACGTTTGATAAAAACATTAAAAATAACTATGAAAATCTTATATTTAAATGTTTGTACTTTGAAGTACAGCTTCCTGCAGAATCAGCCGACAGTCCAATGTAAGGTACCACCTTATAGCTTAGACCACCATCTTTGAAAAAACAGTGCCGTTCGATGCTCTTACGCCTCAACACAATTTTTTATGAGTGTAAGAAGGAAATGGGGAAGAAAAGTACAGTCGGCTGGGGAAGAAAAGTACAGGCATTGGGGAAGAAAAGAACACCCTCTAAGAAACTAAAAGCGAAACGAAAATTGAATTGATCACGGAAATAGATTTGATTAGGCGAGACAAGCAAAAAATGTCAGCACAAGTTGTAGAATTACTCTACAAATCGAAGAGTGTACATGGTATGCTATAACTGGAGCATGCCTGCAAGCACGCTCTAGCTAGCGCATGCCTGCCAGGCGTGCACTAACTAGTGCAAACATGCCATGTACACGCTAACAGAAGCATGCATCTAGTGCATAAGGGATAGGGAGTTGTCTGCATCAGGAAGCGTGTACATGGCATGTATGCGCTAGTAAGTGCATGCTTGGCAGGCATGCGCTAGCTAGAGCGTGCTTGCAGGCATGCTCCAGTTAGAGCATACCATACACTCTTCGATTTGTAGAGTAGACTCGAAATATACAAGTTATTGGGCATTTACGTGAAAAGGGGAAGAAAAGTACAAAAATGCTGTACCCACCTATCTCTGAGAAAATGCTTCTAGGACCTTCTGTGATGAGTCCATATAGAATCATAACCAATTGACCGATTTTGACGAAATTTGAACTAATGGCAAGTGAAAGCTCTACACTTTAGGGGTAAACCTGTATTGAGCCAAGATTGGTGGTCTCCTGGTTCGAACTCGCAATTCTTTTCGTTGTACTTTTCTTTCCCGGTGGTGTACTTACCCTTTTCGAGGAGTTCCGAAATCACATACATTTTGGCATGTTGTACGTAATGTATAAATCAATGTAATCAATGTATAATCAATAAACAGTGACCCATTTCATTAGGAAGGCATTGGATTACAAGTTCACGAGAACAGAATAGTTGAATCCTCATTTGGAACTTCTGTACAGTGCAAAGTACGAGTTTTGTACTTTTCTTCCCCAACCTACCCCTATTTAACATAACAATAAAAAAGTACTCTTTCCTTAAAATCTATAAAAGATTTTGTTCCTTATATTGACTATACACTGTTAAAAGAAACTGTAGGAAAACAGTACATTTACCAACGAGTGATTTGCTTTTAAGCAGCACGTGTCATCGGAACTTAAAACAGCACAAATGCTGTTAGGAAACAGCGAGTTTCATCATTGGAGAAAACAACAAATATAGTGTTATTGAACGATTTCCAATGCTGGAAAACAGAACATCTTGTTTGTAAAATTAATGATGTATGCTGTTTTGGAACGGAATCCAGTCATTTAATAACAGGAAAAGTAGCGATATACATCGGCAACTTTGGCCCGTCCCGTACATTAACAAATGTGTGAATTTCGCCTTTGTTTAACCCTGACGAATTTAAACCAGGGTCTAGGGTCAAAATAAATGTCGTTTTCGTCATCAGCACCCTCAAAAACATCAGAAACAATGCAAAAACTCGAATAAAAAGAATGTTCCGAAAATACCCCACTGGGATTTGAACCCGGGTCCGAACTTCTCCGATTCGTTCGAAAGTGGCACCATTGGTTTTTTCTCGTCGCACCGATTCCAAAAATACCCCTACATGCCCTGCTAGCTGCATCCGTTGCCGAGATCCTCCTCGACCCCATGTAGACCATGATGCACCTGCAGCAGCGCCCCCGGGGCTCGGATCGGATTTGCTGCCACCGGGCGGTTCTTAGGGTCACCCAAGGAGGCTGCATACCAAATTTGGTCAAGATCGGACCGCGGGAAGTCCTCGGACGAACGAACGAACGAACGAACGGACGAACGAACGGACGCACAGCATGCATCATACTATATGCCCGTCCCTCCGTCATTTTTTTACAAAAAATAAACGGGACGGGCCAAAAACAACACCATTCAATTGAAGATTTGCTGGAGCATTTTGCAGCTCACGGCTCAAATCAAACTTCAACTATATCAAAATAAATTCTGTTGTCTGAACAGCATTTGTGTTGTTAAGTTTTTTAGCAACACTTCCAATTTTTAAACAGCGGTGAACTGTCCAAGAACTGCACGCACTGTTACAAAACAAATGTTCCTTTTAGTGAATAACAGAGAGACCACGTTGAAGAACAGTGCTGTTTGTAAACAGAAAAGAGCGTTTGTGAATGACTGCTGGTAGTGGATAAGACTATTAGGACCCTCGACATTTTTTTAATAAATGTATAACAATTATTGTGTTTGAAAACAGAAAAGTGTTGTTTATGAACAGGTTGGTGCCATTTGGAAATGGTAATTCTGTTCCACAATAACTTATTGTCAGAGGTCAGATACAGAGAGCCATCATCCCTTTTTACAACACTGCTGTTGGATAACGACTCAGTGTCTAACAAAATGCCGTTCTTCTACAACAAGTGTTGCTAAAAAACTTAACAGGATATATGCTGTTAATTTACAGCATCTTTTCTATCAGTGTAGTCACTTTGCTATTGACCAAGAGTCAGTGCGAAATTGGCTTTTAAAAAAATAGTAGTCAATAATTGATGACAATTGAGTCTTTATAGTGAACAATATTGTACATGATTACATAGGAAATACTGCATATTATTGCTGCTTAAAAAACTACGTAAGCAAAGTATAAAAAGTCAATAATGGAGAGAAAAAAGCTAACACGAGTCTGAGGGTCTACGAAGGACGACTTCTGTATTGCGAAGCATTTTTTAGCGTTGCAAAGAAAACACGGTGCAGCAAACCTATTCTTTAGTATTACTTAGCTCTTGGTTTCATAATGCAAATTAGACGGCGTAGTAATACTTAGTCGGTATTACAGGAAGAACTGCACCTTGTTTTCCCATACAACAAAAGAAAGTCTTGTAGAATAAAACTCGCGCAGAATATTGTTTGGTTATGAGAAGAAAAATCTTAAGTACATACTTCTGAGGGCCAGGAGATTGTGAGAACATGGCCTTTGTTTCCGAAACGCTTTTAACAGATGGAAGGGGACCGAAATGTAGGGTGCTTTAGGCTAATTATCCTTCTCGAGACTTCCTATTTTACCCATATCAAATAATTAAGTGTACAGGGTTTCCAAAAAAAAAACAACAAAAACACTAATGTGAAAAATTGATGATAAATTCACATCCGAACGAGCGTGACACAATGCTCGAAGGAGTGTGACACTTTGTCACGCTTGTTTTAACATGCCACGCTCCCAAGATGTGAGTAAAGGTTGCAGATTACTCTTTATCGCCCCAATTTCGGAAGGGAAGCTTTCCTTACTCAGCAAATTCAACAGTTTGTAAGTACACTCCGGTCAGAGTGTGCTGAGATCATTACATACCTTTGTTTCCATGGAAATATGTACAGCTGAGTACACCTTCATGGGAACGTACTCGTGAGTACACGCTAAACAGAGTGTACTCGACTGAGAACAAAGTGTACTGAGTACACTGTTAAGTTTGCAGAGTACCCCAAATTTGGATGTGAGATAAACCTCATCCAAATTTGAGTGAGTTAAGAACAAGCACCTCGCCTGAAATAAGAAACGGACTCTTTCATCCTCGTAGAGCTCGGAATCGTCACTCACCGGTATTGCTTGAGTAATGCACAATCATGCTGGCAGTACGGCTGCGGCAGTAGGTACACATAGCAGTCCCTGAGGAGGGCGATCGCATCAGCCTGGCGTTTATGGGTGCAGTATGCGTACGCTACGCTAATCTGAGATCAACGGAAAGACAAGAAAAGTTGTTAGCGAAGGAAGACACCACGTTGATTACAGCACACTTAATTACTTAGTAGTTTTTGGTCCAAAGCCTTAGAACGAAGTTGAACAGACTTAATTACTGCTTCGCACAAAATTGGGCATGCGTTTTGAAGGGCATGAATTTTTGTGTAACTAACAAGGGAACTATGCTAGGTGTTATATCCAAATTTTCTTCATATTCGGAATTTCGGAAGGGCATCTTAGTAGATTAAGGGGAGGTTCTACTGAAATTATTGCATTTTTCAAATTGAGCCCCAGTGTAAAAATTTGTTGCAGATGTATAGTAAAACATAGTTAATAGTCAAACATGAAATTTAGAGCCCAATACCTCCCTCCAAATCCAGTCGAAGAGGTTTTTTCAGCCTATTTTAGCAATATCTTAGAAAATTCTTCTACGCAAAGCATTTCAACGTAAACTGATGTTCTGGACATTTTTCACTTCTTTGGCTCATATGCAATAAAGCGTGGCATCACCAAGACATGGTACCCAACAAATTTATTTTGACGTTGCTTTTCAGAATAAAAGACACCAAAATATCAGAATTTTTAACATTTTCATGAAATTTTATTGACATGCTGTCTTAAAAACACAGCTTATGATTTTGTAATAGTCCCAGTATCTTACAAATGCCACGGTTTATCAATTATGAACCAAAGAAGTGAAAAATGCCCAGAACATTAGTTTACGTTGAAATACTTTGCGTAGGAGAATTTTTCAAGTTACGACTGGAAATAGCAGAAAATTCCTCTTCGACTGGGTTGGGGGCTAGGTATTGCTCTCCAAACTTCAAATTTATCTATTTACTATGAAATACTTTAAATTTACAATGAATATTGATAATGGGACTCAATTTGGAGAAAGTAAGATTTTCAGTAGAACCTCCCCTTAAGGGGGCACACCAGTGAAAATGTAGAGGTTTTGAAAAACGATCATTCTGAGAAAAGTAACCTACGTATTCGATTGATATTTTATTCGTGGCTCAAAATCATATCAAAGAAAAGAAAAATCAGTATGGGAGGGTGGGGTGGCGATGGCAAGACGATGCGCCAGTGCACTTCATTTTTCTGCGACCTCGTCTCACTCCTGCCACGATTCCGCCTCTCTGGATTGAGCCTCGAGCACGGGATTTGAAAATTTCTCAACAGGACGCATGTGGCTATGGTCTGAACCACGGGCATGCAAAAAGAATGATTTTGAATTTGTTTTTTCAAAAGGCAAAAATAGAAACAATTTTTTTAACCAAATTTTTTGCGCTTTCATGGCTGCAGCTCACGTCCTATTTATGGGATGGTCATTTCCGAGGTTCAGACCATAGACGCAAGTTTAACGAACATTTTGCCGCAAACCGCATTAATTTATCTCTATTTTGGCGCCCGTGAGAGTGGCACAAAGGTACAAAAAAGGTGTTTTGAGAAAAAGCCCTTTTAGTAGAAACATAGATTTGACGTGTTTTTTCGGATTATAAATGCGCCTTTTGAAGTATTTAAGTTCGTTTTGCGCCAAAATGACCCTTTTTTTAACTGCGTTTGGGTGGTTCAAGGGTTTTGTAATTAAACTTTAAGTGAAAAACCTGAACGTTCACAATTGGTCTAAAATATCCAAAAAGAATAACCCTTTTAGCAACTTCAAAAATGTGCACAAGCCAAAGTAATTGGAATTTTGGGGTGGGGTTTGCGGCATTCGACTCGGGATGAATAGCAGAAAAATAAGATAAAATAAAAAAGAAGGCAAAAATTTGACGATTTTCACTGGTGTGCCCCCTTAAGATCACGCTCAAAAGTTCGTGCCCAAACACATCACAACACCTTTGAAATAAAGCATGAAAAATGAAATTTTCACAAATTTTCACAAAACCCCTATTTTATAGTGAAAATTTCATTTTTTATGCTCCGTCTAAAAGGTGTTGTAATGTATTTGGGCACGAACTTTTAAGCGCGACCTTAATCAACCAAGATGACCTTCCGAAATCCCGAATATGAAGCACCTAACATAGGTCCCTTGTAAGCACGGAAGTGTGTAATGGCCTCCGGGTGATTGATCAGATGGTTTGAAGTGTAGCCGATGCGATGCGCGCAAAGGGACAAGCCTCCAAGTTGGCCGTTAGATGGGAGCATCATCGCCATGCTTCCGGGCAGAGTTGTCCGAAATTACACCGAGTGTCCGAAATTACCCCGTTTCACGGGATATAAAAGCTTCGCACAAAACTGAGAATGCGTTTTGAGATGCATGAATTTGTGCGTAAGAAAGAACGAAAGTGTGCGTTGTTGCGCATAAAATTCGTGCATATCGAAACGCATGCTCAATTTTGTGCAGATCTTATACACTTATACCTCCCAAAACAATTTAATGACATAAGGCGGCAATTGTCCTACAGCCCTTTCTATCGGGTCCACGCCCTCCCCTTGTTCGCAACACTGATCACAGACGGCGGAGTCGTTGCTTACCATGTCCAAGACGCGGTGCCAGGGCGTGGGTGAAGCGTCCAGCTCGTCGAAGACGTTGCTCGCCACACTCAAGGGCATCGGGATGCAGGGCAAGCCGTTGCTCTCCTCCCACAAGCTGGGGCACGACAGTTGCTTCCAGACCGCGTCCATGCTCATCGTGCTGCACAAAAGGACAAACGCGTCAAGGCAGTACACTTCAAAATTTCAAAGGGAGACTTGACATGCACGGAGAAAACCTTACGAACTATTTTCGGCCTTACATAGGAAAGCAGGTAGTTATTACAAGGTATTTATAGCATACATGAGCTTACAAAGAAAATACTTCGTGAATAGGGTACTTCGGTGTAAAGCTGGAACGGAAGTGGAGAAGAAATCAAGAAGAACAAAGTATGAAAAATTCGTGAGAGTGAGCGTCTGCGTCGCCGCATCCGCAGAGCTGTATTCTGTTTAAGTCCGGCATTTGTTCTTCTTGATTTCTTCTCAACTTCCGTCCCAGCTCTTCTCCGAAATGCCCTATTACGAACTATTTCTTCGCGTAATGAAGTGATTTAGTTTGTATAATGTATGCTCAAAATACTTCGGAAGATTAAATGCGTGTGACTCATCACACTGAAAAAAATTCCGTACTTTTGTACGGAAATGGTACAGAAAAATATAGTACGGAGGTACGGAGAAAAGTACGGAACGTTCCGTACCTGCTCCATATGAACCCATGTAAATGGGTACGGAAAAAAAGTACGGAACGTTCCGTAGTTGGCAAGTACGGACGGTCCAGGCAAATTATTGACCAGATATGTTCCGTACTTTTTTCTCACAGTGGTCTCTTTTACTACGTTACGCAGTTTTGGACACGTCTGGATCCCCCCCTCCCCTACGTAAGGGAGAGTGGGGTAATTCCGGACACGGGGTAATTCCGGACACTTCGATTTTCACTGGGTTTGAGTGAAGATAACTCAAAAGCCCGCCTAACAGAGGAAGATAATCAGTTTGAAAGGAGAATTGCAAATCGCCAAAGTTGGAGGTCAAACCGTTTGCCTGTGATCGCTTCACGAAATTTGAGTACCATAAAAAATAGAAAAAGCTGCATCTTTCCCTCGCATTTCCATGTACTTATCGTACCTTACCGTCAAGTTCAGCCCCTGACAAAAATTTTATCATACTATATGGTCATTGGCTTTACTTTGGGTTTCGGGAGTGCTCGTAGGGTCGCCGTTTTCTTACAGTTGAACATCAGGGGTTTTCACTACCTGGGGGGTAAATCCGGTCAATAAGGGTTTTTTCTTCAATTTCCCGCATAATGTTAAGGTAGGGGGTTCAAAATTTGGACATGCATCCCCACCGTTAAAAGGATAAAGAAAGAACGAAAAATAGCATTGCAGCTATGTTTAAAAGCTTTACTCAAGACAGTGTTGTCAATTTGTCAAAATGGTCAAAAAGACATTAGAAGTTCTACAACTCTTTCATTTTCCATTTGAACCCATGATATTTTTGACATTTTTTGTTCTTCTTGTTGAGACGAATCTAATTCTGCAAGGTGAGGTGTGTTCAGTCAATTTTTAAAATTGATCCAGGCGCTGCCCTGCGGAAGTCTGCAGGAGTTCCACACCACCTTGCGCCGTGTTTCCCGAAAACGCGTGCCCGTTTCCAGGGCGCACACATTTTGCACTCGCACACGCCAATTGCGCACGTCCGCACGCATCATGCCGTTCGATACAAGTTGCCTAAATGACGGACTCTAACCTCTGATTCATCGGATGCGTCTCGAACAGCGAGCGCAAGGCCTCGGGAAAATGAATTCCTAGGGACTCCCTAGGAATCGTGCCGATTTCCTAGGGAGTCCCTAGGAAATGGGGCCGGGGGCGCCGAAGCGGCCTTTTCCTAGGGAGTCCCTAGGAATCTGAACCCAGTTCCTAGGGAGTCCCTAGGAATGGATCAACTCGCCCCGGGTTTTGGGAAAAAAATCCCCTAGGATTCCAAGGAGGTATTTTTACCGTGTGGGAAAACTGGCCACTGCTGCAACAAGCGAGAGAGTGTGGTCCAAGGCGGGCTTTATTTTAAACTCGAGGAGAAACAGGCTGAGTGCTAGACACCTTAGCTCCATGGTCTTTTTGGCCTCTTACCTAAGATTCCTTAGAAGGAAAAGAAATAAAATTTATGTTACAATCTAACCTGCATATTATTTAATACATATGTTCCTTCAAGTTATTGACCCCCCCCCACACACACACACACCTCGCCCCTATCGGTAGGGAGCAGGAGCGAAGCGGGCCTCCCCAGTGCCGCGTCAGTAGTATAGGTAGGACTTTTGGACACTTGTCTCCTGGGTCGGACTTGTGGACACCTTGAGCGTGGGTAACCTAACCGAACCTAAGCAGGTCTGATCTTGAGCGTGGGTAACCTAACCGAACCTAAGCAGGTCTGGACCCGCCCCTGGGTCGGACTTTTGGACACCTTGACCTTCCCAACCTAAGCAGGTCATCATCTTGAGCAGTGCAAACCTAACCGAACCTAAGGTGGACCAGCCTCGGTGCGCTCCCCTCTGGTTCCGCCGCTGGTGCCGCGAGGCGAAGCCGCGGCGCGCTCCCCTCCCTTGGCCCGCCCCTGCCACCGCGCCGTGCACCGCGGCCAGGTGTGGAGCGGTGCCGCCAGCTCGCCGCGAAGCCGCGTGCACCTGCCCGCGAGGCGTGAAGCCGGTGAGCACCCCTGTGCCGCCAGCGGTCCTCCGGTGGGTCTTGGAGTGGTCCACGGTGCGCCGCGCGCACCACGGGGCCGTGCAGCAGCTCGCAGCAGAGCGCCGTGAAGCAGCGCTACAATGCTCACCGCGTGCCACTGCGCATCGCTTCTGCGCAACGCGCCGCAGCGCGCCGAGGCAGACGCCGCTCGACTAAGCTTCATTTCTCTTTTACCGACTCTTATTTCTCTCATCACCCTATGGAATTATGATCGGAACAGTATTTCCTATCGCCTCGTGCACTCTGATTTCTTTAATGTGGTCCTCGCTGTTGATAAACACAAGTTCCGTGCCGGCTGTCTGCAGGCTTTAGCCTCGAACCCAAAGCCGACGGAGCGCAACAGGTTTTTAGTTTTTTTAACCGTGTATCAACGTTTCCGAAGAGAAAAAATACTGCGAGACGATTTTAAATGATGAATGCAACCAACTTTTCTTTTCGGCGCGTTCAAAATCACTCGCAATCTCGCTATGAGAGTAACGCGTCCGGGAGGTTCGCTGTGATTCGTCTAAAATACTGATTTTTGGCCAATGAGCGAAAAGCGCGCGAAACCCCCTCCCCGCCGGCGGGAGGAAAAGGGCAGGGGGTGGTGGATAAATTGAGGCGCGCCGCCGGCCCAGCGCGGCACTTGTGTTTTCGCCTTCGCCGTGTCTGCCACGATGAGTCGCTGCTTCTACTCCCGTGAAGTCTGGAAGGGACGTGTCCTGGACGGCACGTCGTCGTCGGAGTCGTCAGACTCGGCCCACGACCAGGACGTCGACGTCATACAGCTCGACGTGTTGGCTGAGGACCTCATGATGGTGAGTAGAGTGCGTGATTCTCGTTGTGGCGAAGCTCTGTCTGTTTGTCCTCCCGGTGCGATAACCTCGCTCGGTAGGATTTTTCTAAGGCGGAAGCTATACCCGATTTCGTACCGGTGCGAGGCCGTTCGACTCTCTGTAGAGCCGTGGCGTTTCCTCGCACCGTATTTTCTTATTCAAATCGGTAACCTCCAAAATTTATTTTCCCTTCCAGCTCTGTTGAGTGTAGTGTTCGTTCAAACCGCGTCATGTTTTATTTTGTCTGCCTCGCCCGTGCCACGCTACGCCGTGCCGGGCAGGCTGTGTCCGTTACGTTCAAACCGCGTCTTGTTTTAACTTGTCGTTGGCCGCCGGCCGGCGTGTCCGTTTGTCCGGCGCGCGCTTCTCGGAATCGCGCCACGCCACGCCGTGCCATGGCTGGCTGTGCTGCACCGCGCCGCGCAGTAGATTGTGTCCTAACGTCTCGTTCTTGATCTCCGTCATGCTCCCCGTGTCCCCCGCCTCGTTTGAGGCGTTTCCGCGAGCGTGGGAAACCTTTCCCGCCGGCGGCCGGGGCGCAGTCAGCTGACTGCCGCGCCGACTCGCTCTCTCTCGCACCTAAGGCTGGCTGTCGGCTTGCCGCGCCGCCCCTCCCCTACAGTGTACTGTGCTGTGCTCTGCAGCACCGGGCCGGGTCAGGGTTCGAATCCCAGTCGTGTCTCGCCGTCGCGCTCGGTATAGTTAGTCTTCCTGGTGAGGTATTGTTCGTCCATGTGGGTGGGTGGGAGTGACGCTGCCATGGAGGCCCCGTCAACGTCTGTGTAAGTCAGCTGCCTTGCGCAGCTCAACAGTGCTTGCTTGCTTGCTTCTGAAATTCTCGCTAAAGCATGTGTTTTGCTTTCTTGAAGTTTTTGAAGCTTTCCCTCATGCTGTATGTTTCCACGTGTATTCAGTGCTAAAGAAATGTGAATACAATCGGAATCGTACATCGTGATTTCGCACGCCGATATCTGCGGTTCCACTGAGAACGGCCGGTAATGGCATGTGATTTTCTTTGTGTTTTGCCTTGAAAACTAATCGATTCTTTACCCTTAATGGTTTCAGTCCTCATCTTGTGAAGATGAGAGTGAGAGTGCGCAGCACCCCTGGGAGGTCCAGCAGGTTACGACTCCGCCCTCCCCGTCGCATGTACCCGCACCACCTGCTTCATGGCTGCCGCCCCTCCCCACCGGCACTCCACCTGCTTCATGGCTGCCACCCCTCCCCACCGGCACCCCTCCACCGGCTGCACCTCTCCCAGAGCTGCCCCTGCGCCCGGGCACCCCGAGGGACGAGCCGGCTGTAAGTGCTTTTACACCCTATATTTTCGATGTACTTTTCTCGCCGTTGTCAAGTCACGTTCCGTTAACTGCACTTTTGATTCACCGAAACTGCAAGTAATGGATCGTGTGACGAAAGGGTTGGAACTTGTTACTAACTGCATCGAATTTGTTCTGTTTCAGGAGGATCCTGACAAGGAGAATAGGGCGCCGTCCCCCTGGGAGGAGGAGGAGAAGGCCCAGGTTTCACCCCCATGTGAGGCTCTTGACTTCATGCACGCGTGGCTGGAGCAGTGTCGGATGCCGCCGCCGCCGCCACGCGATCCGGGGCCAGGAGGACCGGCTGTGGCACGCAAAGTGCCGATTAAACCGCTCGCCCCGTACAAGGACGATAAGGTGAGTATCTGCATGTTTGTTTTTTGTTTTTTTTTTCCCCTCCCTCGCTCCTTTTTTACGCTAGTTTTCGAAAATTTCAGTCGGTCCTTTTACCGCCGCCGTCGCCCCCTCCACCCCCTCAGCCCGAGCCTCTGCCTCAATTTCCTGACGGGGTGGCGCCTGGTGGTTCATGTGCTGTAAGCACTTTTTTCCCCTCACGTGCATGTACCACGTCAATGTGTCTAACCATGTTTTTTGTTCATCTGTTCATAGGTCCCAACACCATGGGTGGGGGCAAACGCCCAGGACCCCCTCGGGCTGTTAACGCCTGTGCCCACTAAGAGTAGCACTCCTCGCCGTAAATCATCATCAGTATGCACGCAGACGCCAGTACGTCGAACGAAGGAGAAGTCGACTCAGACTACTGGACCTGCTACTTCAGCTGCTGTCAGCCTTCCCTCTGCTACTTCAACTGCTGCCAGTCCGCCTGTCAACCTTCCCTCTGTGGTGCCATTGATGTCAGTCCGTCGGCCTGCGTTAGTCGTTCCCCCCAGGCGCATCAGAGTGATGCCCCCTTCCCCTTCGTCTATGCCGCGTGTTCGTGAGGTGTGTACTCTATTTTCCCTACTTTCGTGTATGACCATTTTTTTTTCAGTGTCTAATCACAGATGAAAATTTTGTTGTAGACTGTCCCAGTACCCTACCCTCACCATTGGCCGCGCAGGGCTTGGCCTAGATATTACTCAGTGCGGGGGCCGAGACCTGGGTCCTACTGGACCGTACTGGACCAGCCGTGGGCCAGTTGAAGACCAATTCTAATTTTCTTCCTCACCCAGAAAATCGTCCTCTAGATTTTAGTGGAATTTACTAACGATTAGATGACATTCCTCTATAATACGAACCGAAAGGATCCTCTGAAGAATAGAGTGAAATCCTCTAATCGGACTGATTAGTGGATCACTCTAATGTTTAGTACATTAATCCTCTAATTACCAGTATAAAATCAACTAAATGTTAGTGTATTGTATTCTAATCAACAATTCTGGGAGGGATAAATATGGCTGCGAAAAAGGAAATGGAGCAAATATGAACAGTAATAAAAGTTTATTCAAGCAAACAATTGGCACATTCCTTTTTTACAAATGATTTACAAAATACTTGGCATGTAGGTCACTTGGCAAAACATATACACTTCAAAATGTATCTTTGTTGAAATATTACTCTTGTCAGGTCTCGACAACTTTTGGTTCCTCGCAAGGAGAATTTTTGGCCAACGACTAAATTTGTTTCGTAAACTTCAATAACTCAGAAACTAATGGGGGTTGGGTGCCCTAACTTTGGGTTTAAGTTAATCTTATAGTAAGCAACTAGAAACCAAAATACAATAAGGATGCCACAATTATTTTGGAAGATGTTTCACTTTTTTTTCACTTCACAGTAACCTTAACCTGAGTCAACGACAAAGGTTTGGGTCAGACATGAATCAACGACAAACATTTTGATCTTACCTGAGTCAACGACAAAGGTTTGAGCCAAACTTGAATCAACGACAAATATTTTGGTTTCACTTGTGCCAACAACAAAAGTTTTGGTCAAACTTGAGCTAACGACAAATATTATGATCAATTTTGAGTCAACGACAAAAGTTAGGAAAGGAAACGTCAAATGATTAGGTCACAAATATTGTGATCAAATGTTTAGAAAGCAATCAACAAATGAAGAGGTCAAACTTGAGTCAACGACAAATGTTTGAGTCAACATTGTGTTAGCTGAACAAATTATTTTGAAGTCAAATAACCTAGGTAACAGTTTCACTTTGTTTGGTATGGTGCAGCTGAAGTAAGATGCAGCTCATGGTGGAAGGTCCAACTCTTGTCAGAAAAACTGGAACAAAATAAAAATAAAATACAATGAAGGTACATTGCTTTAAAATAAGAGGTGCCACAAGATTAATTTGTTTTTGTAGTAAAAGTCAAAAACATTAAATGCTTTAATAGGTTTTGGTGAAATTATTATATTTTCCAAAGTGAGTTCCACTATGAATCAACCAATTATTGAGTATTCTCCAAATCTGAATCCTTACCACGTCAGGTTGTTGTTGTTGGAGTTGTCTTCTAAACGTACATCCAACGACAAAGTAACCGTACAGGTTATGTTAGGTACTCAATATGTGCAAGAAGAGAAAGACTACTGGTACATTATTCAAACCCAAATATGTTCAGACGCAACTATAAAAGAGTACCCTTACGTGGAAAGTTTATTTCATGTCTAAAAGCAAAAGGAATTCGTAGTTCCTAGGAAGGCAGCCTCCAAGCAACCGGTCCGGAGGGCCGCAATCCTCCACTTTTCTAGCCTCAGCAGGGTTTGATAAAATAACTTACGCTTCTCATGTAAATGTCACTTACCACTTGGCCTCCGGCAGATGGCGAACTTGATGTTTTGAAGTTAGTGCCCTCACGAAACACTCACAGTTTCATCAATTTTCTTTTCCCAGCCTGACCATGGCCTAAACAAGACAGACCGAGTCCCTTCAAAATAGCGGATGGCCCATGGCCACCAACATGGCGACGAAAATCCCTGCACATATCATACCATGCTTAAAAACTCCTGGCACTAGATGTTATGTCAAAATAAACAACGCAAATACATTTGAAAGAAAACAGAATAACTGAAAATAGTTAAATAAATGGATAAATTCGTGTCGGATACATCACTTCTTCTTTTCTTAGGTTGGTAACGCGAAACTTTTAGAGGAAATGTTTAGAGGAAATTCCGTTAAAAGGTTGTTTAGAACATGTACTAAACTTTAGTATGCCGATTAGTGGATGGGATAAGATGACAATAGCGTTTTAGCAAATCCTCTTATCTTCAGAATGATGTTAAGAGGATTATTTAGAGGATTGCATTAGAAGATTATTGTACTAAAATCTAGAGGACGATTTTCTGGGTGCTTGGGCCTGTTGAAGCCCATTAACCTTTTTTGATTCTTGATCTTCTCGTAAAACTTTTTGTCTTAATTTTTTTTTGAGATGTTGTTTAATTTTCTTATTAAACTTTTTTTGGATGAGATCTTCTTCTTCTCGTAAAATTTTGGAGATGTTGTTTAATATACGCTTTTATTAAAGAAATCTTTCATTCTAAACAGTGTCTTGTGTTTCCTTTCCTCACTTCCTTTCCGCAACTTTTCTATCGAGTCACCTTTATGAGACAGAACTTCTCTACGAGTTAACTTTCTTTGAGTCAAACCTACTCTTGATTTCAAATTCATTTTCTTATTCGCTTACTGCACAACTTTTTCTGATTCAACTTTTCGACTCTGCTTGACACACTTGAAGCTTTTCCGAAATAGAGTTACGAGTCAACTGATTGAAATAATTTGAGCTACGCTTCCATTCTCTAACAGTACACTTAAGTTCAACTGAGATGAGCAAAAAAGACAGTGAGAATACCAAACTTCTTTGCCCTGTACTTGGCTTGAAACTTCTGAACTTCTTGCACTCCTGGTATGTGAGTGAGAGAGTGAGAGTGTGTGAGTGTGTGTGTGAGTGAGTGGGTGTGTGTGTGTGTGTGTGTGTGTGTGTGTGTGTAGCGAGAGGGAGGAACATAGACACCCTCTGGCCTGGGGGCGCCTTGTGGCAGACCCGCCACACAGTGGTGTGCGAAGGGTTGCCTACCCTCAACTCGGCAGGCGCTCCACCGCGCGTCATTGTCTCCAGCTCTGA